AAATATTTTATGTGTGTTCAGGAATGGCGTTTGATCCAGGGTTGGAAAAAACCCAGGGTTTTTAAAAAAACCTAACCCAAATGGGTTTTATTGGGTTTTTTTGGGTTTTTTAAAAAACCGATCAAAATACCAAATTTTTTTTTTTAATTTCATAAGTTCACCTCCCTATTGCTCCAGTGACCACTCTAGTCAAGGGAGCAACTCATTTTTAAAAAATATTTTATCTCAATCCTTAACATTATCATTTTTACTAACAAACAACATTTACAATCAATATTTTTAAACAAAGGGGCTTTGCGGAGAAATAGATTAAGCACAGTATTTTCAGCAGAGGTAATTTTAGCCCAAACATTCTGATTGCAATATAAATGTTGCAAACTAGTTTTTTATACTAACATGCTCAACATCATTTCAAAAACTAAGTTTACAACATGTAATCAACAAGTTTGCAACATGATGTGTCAACCTTGTAAATTATTGTCAATCAGGATGACTATAAACACTTTTTAAACATTTTTGCATCATAAAAGAAAACTGTTAGCCTAATCACTACATTTTTTTTTAACAGAACATTATACTGTCCAGCTTCCTGGAAAGGTTATTGGCCTAATCTTAATTTTTCTTACTTTATATGATCATATTAGTATTTTTAAAATGGTAAGATTAGCTTCCATCGGTAAGCCAAGTTTTTGGGCTTCCATCATCAATTGACAATTTTCATAAGAATGATCAGAAACTGGAAGTTCAGCTAATCTAACATGGATATTTGGAACTTAAATAATGTAACCAGTATTGAAAATATATTCCTTTAAACAAAATTACATAAAATAATTCAGCAATTATATCCAAATGTTTAAGATTAGAGAGTAATGATTAGCCAATTCGGGATGATATTGACACTTTATAATGTTTTTATTTTTTAGATTATGGGGAGATTTGTTTTGCAAATGGGTTTGTGCCTAAGCTTTGATTGTTCTTAAAATATCTAAAATGAATTTGTTAATAACCATTACAGTGTCTTCGCCACCAGATTCTTTTTTTTTTACTTGGAGATGTTTTACCAGCTCAGTTTTGCAACTGAATCAAAGTAACACAATATATAGCTCAATCGCATGTGTTTCTTCACCTTTTAGCAAACTTGGTACTGATGTTCATTTTCAACCCGCTGTTCATAGTCACCCCTGTTGACGATACATGTTGTAAACTTATAGCTGGTGCAAAATAATTAAAACCTGTAAAATAGACAGATGAGCATGAGTATCATTTTTACCAGCAAATCTTGTCCTTGTTAACTGCATAGTTTTCAACATGTTCTCTCATTGAATGAAACTTGCTTGCACATAACATAATTTTATTTTATGTTTTAAAGTTATATGCACTTAATAAGGACAAGTCTAGTAAACTCTAGCTTCTTTTTTTTTTTGCCTGACAACTTTCCATTTCTAAATTGTGAATAAAGTTTAACAATGTTTATATATAGTATTTTACTTGTGGCTTTGTACTGAAATTTACAGTTTACAACATAAGCTTTAAAAGGTAAAAGATCAAAAACCAAAATAAAATGACATATAGAACGCTTGTTTAGAAATATAGACATTCGAGAGGAGAATAAAGATACTAAATAACTATTAATGTCTTGTACTTTAAAATTTAGTTTATAGAATAATTTTTATTTCCTTTATAAGTATTTAATTAATTTAATGTTTTAATACATATTTCAATAATATTTATAATAACTTGCTATATGTTTTAAAAAAATAATAGTGTGAAATCAAGAGATAAGATTAATGAAAAGTTCTTAGAAAATAATTCACCTTTGTCTTTACGTGAGGTAACATAATCTAAACCAATCTGGTCAAGTAACAAATTTGTCCTTATTATAGATACCACTGAAAATAATCCAGAAGTCTCGGAGCCTGATTTTTTAGATGAAATACAAGATTTCATGACCTGAGAATAGCAAGCATTGGCGTTAGACAAAATCTTTTTACAATAACTTCTAGCAATAGTAAACAGATGTCTGTTTTCTGGTGAACTGTTTTGGCGATAGATATGGAAGTAATGGTTATAATTGGAAACTGCAGCAGCACAATGAGAGCAAAAACATGGAGAAAAGTGAGGCTTGGAATTGTCACAAGGTAATAAAAGATTCCAGCCAGCCTGAATCTAAGAAGATACATAAAAAGAACATTTGTCAGTAGGTAGACAAAAAGTTTCTACCCAAGGGCTATCTCAATAAAAATCACTGAAATAGTCCCAGTCAGCTTTATGGTAATTGTAAAAGGTATGATGATCAAGGGATTCTGATGATAAAAAAGAATAAGGTAATAGTTTCAAAGAGATCAAACTGTGATCAGAAGCACCTAAGGGTAAATGTGAAGAAACCAAGCACTAACTAGGAGTAAATTAATGGGATTGTCTGGAAAATGAATTGGAAAATTGACTATACTTTGTTAGACACTTGAAATGACAAGTTCCAGTTTGTTAACATTGATATCAGGCAAAAAAGTTTGTGTTTAGCTTTTATTGATTGTTTACTTCTATAAATTATATTCAGTAAATAGGATTTAGTGGTAGGGTAATTTTGAATATAAGTTAAAGCTTATTTTGTGGAGTATTATTCAGTGTATTTGATAAATTTGACTATTTTGTATTAAAGTGTAAAAGTTTTATTCAAATATTGTTGTGTAAAATGTAATATTTTGTGCTTGTTTACTTTATGATATCAAACTTTGTACCAAAGCTGCAGAAGCTTTCATAAAATATGCACTACTTTTGTGAAAGGTTTTGTAGCTGAACGTTTGAGTTAAAAGTGCTTTAAAAAATTTGCCTCTGGAAAAATATGAAAGATGAATTTTGCTCCAGAAGACCATTAAGGTTCAACAATGATGATATCAAGCCGGATTCAAGTCAGACATTTCAAACTCTTGCCTTTAAGTTTTAATGTGAGTGATAAAACTATTTACATATATTGGCATCTGTTTGGGAAATGATGGAGGTTCAGCAAATGGGTACCACATGATTTAGATGAAGCAAACAAGTTATGACACTTAACAATCTGTTTATTATTGCTTTCACTCTGTTTCCTTTTCATAATCTTTTTTCACTGGATGTTGATGTGTCTTAAAAAGTGAATCAAGTACTGTAAAAATAAGCTTGTGTCATTGGCTGTCCAGTAATACCACATGTTTTTGGCCTTTTTCAACTATATGTGGAATCAACAATTTCAAAAAAAAAGAGGTTTTAAAAAATAAGATTTTATTCCTCTTCAATACTCTAAAGCAACATTAATACAAAAATGGGATATGTGATCTTGAGGTGTGTCTTTGCCTTTGCAGAGTTTTTGGTCATTTAGCTAATATTTTTTATAGTAACCTAATACAAAAATTCAAAGTTTCAAAATCCAGGGAATGCAAAAAAAGATCTTCAGATTCAGATTTTAGCATTGTTGAGAGCTTATGATTCCACCAAGCCTACATTTTTTTATACTTAAATCAGTCTCTTATTCAAATTTTATGGCGCTTCCCTTGTCTGAGTAATTTTTTTAGCTCTAACTGACATTAAGTCAACATCTTATTTGGAACTATAAAGTTCTTTATGAAAAACTCTACTAGTTATTTTTTTCATAACTCGATTAAATTTCTTTTAGGTATTTTATGTACTATTAATGCTATTTAAAGTTTTGCTTAATAAAAGCACAACCTTGTCATTTTAAATTATAACAAAAGATCAATGTTGACATTAAAAAATAGTTTTGATAAGTATTTCTAAAATAACTTATTTGATAAGTTACAAGTTAGATAATTTTGTTAATAAATGTGCTTTGTTTGCTCAAAAAATATCCTCAAAACGCAGTCAAAATGTTATAGGTTTTAGGTATTTTATAGACTTTTTTTTTTTTTTTTTTTTTTTTTTTTGTGTGTAATGTTTGGAAGTCAAGGAAATTACTTTTGATAAAGAAAAATTAAATTAAAATTGTCTATTTTTTTTTATTATACTGTAACATTAAGCACTGAAAACTTTTTTTTTTGAATGTTTAAGTAATATGTAAAATCCTAAATTTATGCAATGTTTTATTGTTCTTTTTCTTAGATCGAAAAAATGCTACAGGAACATATTTGGTCTTGTAAATAAAAATATATATTTATATATAAGAAATAAATTTCTCTTAACTGACTTACCGAACATTGTGCAAATAAGCTATTACTTAATTGTTTTTCTGACTATTGTTATATAAAAACTTTTAATACAGTGTTGTAAGAAAAATATAAATTTAACTTAATGTTCATATTTTTAATATTTTTTTGTATTTCATTAAGTGTGGTAGTGATGTAGTAATCGTGCACTTGCTTTGTAAACAAAAACCTTGTCTCTTTGAGTACTGCATTCAACTTGTTCCTTCGCCTTATATAATATAACAACAATTTTTTTAAATTTAATTGCCTCCTTTACTGTAGAGGCCCCCTCAGCTCTAGGTAATTAAAATAGAATAAAAAAATAGATATAGTCATTATTATTTTATCATTAAAGTAATTATCTGAACTTTTAATGCTATATTTGTAGCATTATATTTCAAAAGAACTTATTATGAATTAGGGTTACCACTATATAGCTCTTTATAGTGAATAGAACAGACAATAGCATACTCAGGAGCTTGAGATTATTTGTTTATAGTTAATAGAACAGACAATAGTATACTTAGGAGATTATTTGTTTATATAGCATACTTAGGACATTATTTGTTTATAAAGCATACTTAGGACATTATTTGTTTATAAAGCATATTTAGGAGGTTATTTGTTTATATCGAATAGAACAGATAACGGCATACTCAGGAGATTGAGATTGTTTGTTTGAAAAATAAAAAAATAAGATGGTTTTTTTTATTTTTTTGTAAATTTAATAATTTCTGCTTTTTGTAGTAAATTTAATGTGTGTAAATTTAATAATTTCTGCTTTCTCTAATTTTTAATAATGTTATAATATAAATTTTTTTTTAGTTCTACAAGTATGGCAGCTGATATGGAGTTTCCATTTTGTGATGAAGTAGGTAAGTACGAAAAATTGACTAAGGTTGGCCAAGGCACATTTGGTGAGGTTTTTAAAGCCAGGCACAGAAAAACAAGAGAGATAGTTGCTTTGAAAAAAATATTGATGGAAAATGAAAAAGAAGGCTTTCCAATTACTGCTTTACGAGAAATTAAGATATTAAAACTGTTACAGCACGAAAATATTGTTAATCTTATTGAGGTATGTCGCACAAAAGCAACAGGTTTTAACAGACAGCGTCCAAGTATATATCTTGTTTTTGAGTTTTGTGAGCATGATTTAGCGGGTTTACTTTGTAATCAGTCTGTACGTTTTTCACTACAAGAAATAAAAAAAGTTATGCAGATGTTATGCAATGCATTGTATTTCATTCATTTTAATAAAATTTTGCATAGAGATATGAAAGCAGCCAACGTTCTTATTACAAAGCATGGAGTGTTGAAACTTGCTGATTTTGGTTTGGCAAGAGGGATATATCTAACCAGAGACCCTCATAAAAATAGGTTAGTTTTTTAAATCATTCTTATTCAAATAATTTTAATTTCTAGAATTTTTCTGAAATGGAAATACTGGTGGCAAGTATTTATATCTGGTTTAGTTATTTAATTATAAAAATTTCATACAATCCAAATGACTATATAAGCCTTAATCTTCTAAAATCTTTAAAAGTTATTGTTTTTTATAACTAAACTGCACAAATTTTTATTTATATGTTATATTTATGCAATGATGTATGCATTCTCGATAACTTTTGAAAGTAAATGTTCTTATTCTTGATGTGTCAGCAACCAAAATCCCTGCTTTATCTAAATCATTCTACAAGCATTTTTTTTAGTACTATGAGCTTTGAAGGATTTTTATTTTTTTCAAGATAATGATCTTCATTGAACTATTTTGTAATTTGAGCCTTATAAATATCTGAATTGTCTGAATTTGTTCACATTTTCCTGGCAAGCTTTTCATCGACCTGTCTTGAACAACCTGTCAAATAAAAAAAAATTGTTGATAGTACCAACCCTTAGATCCAGAATTTGTTAGGTAATTTTTATTTTATTTTATTTATAAAATGGTTCTATTTCTTTTCGTTGAACTGTTTCTTAGCTAATTAATTCTTTTCAATAACTCATAATACTCATAATAGGTTTTTTTTTTTTTTTTTTTTTTTTTTTTTTTTTTTTTTTTCTTTTGAGGTACTGTTTAAAAATAATTGTTAATATTTAGATTGCTATTTTTAAAATTATTTCCCTTTATATAAAATTTTTCTTTAACAAATTTTAAAAAAGTTTTCTTATTGGTAAGAATATTACAATAATTAATTTTTTACCAATTTTTTTGTGTTGTTGTATGCAGGGGCTCTTTTTAGACTAGACCAAGTTAATTCTGGTGTTTCTTTGAGTTTTTCCCTAGTTTCCCTAGTTTCTCATATATATTTTGAGAGAGGGGTTTCAATTAAAAGTTTTATTTCGATTCCCAAATGTTGTCACAATTATGAATTTCTATTAAGCAACCACGAACCTGAAGATTAGATACGCACACTTGTAACAATAGTTTTTTTCTGAAATAGTTTTTTTTATGTATTGTTTTATGTAACTAGTTCCAATTGTATATAAATTTTTTTTACAAAAAAACTATATTTGTACTTCACCTGATTATTGCAATAGCATGAAATTTAAATTGATCAAAATCACGTAGTTTTATTTTTTACTAGATTATAGCTCTGACTCAGTTCATCGAGCACTTTCTTGGTAGTATATGCACAAAACAGCATCAATATATATATATATATATATATATATATATATATATATATATATATATATATATATATATATATATATATATATATATATATATATATATATACATCGACTACATCGCTACATCAACTGAGGGTTTGGCATGGGGCAGCCATCTTTTTATTCATTATTCTTTGTTTTATTCTTTTTCTAGATAATATAAGCAAAAAAAGTGAGCAAATGTTTATATAAATACGTTATAGTAGATTTATATGCATATATATATATATATATATATATATATATATATATATATATATATATATATATATATATATATATATATATATATATATATATATACAGGCTTTAGCAGGAGTAAATGAGTGCGTGGGCTGGGCTTCGTTGGTTGGCTGCCCAGAAAGTCTTGCACAGGCTTATTTGAAAAATTAAAATTATTATGTTTTGATGAATTTTTTTTTATTCTGAAATTTTGTTTTCTTTATTCTTCATGCCAGTAAAAGTTTTTATTTCAATAATGAATGTTTTTTTAGCGATAAAAAGAGATAAACAAATTTTTTTATATTTAATCTTTATTTAATAGTTTAGTAATTAATTAAATAATAAATATAAAACAATAATCAAATTTTAAAATATAAACAATTTTTCTAATAAAACAACAATATATAAAAAAACCGTTATCCATCATATTATTGTTTTATAAAAACGAATGACTTTAATTATATTATTATAAAGGTTCATTCATTTTTCTTCTTTTTTGTGAATGAAAATGTCAGTGTAAATAAAACATTTCTACAATCGCTTTATTAACAAGTAGGTGAGTGACAAATCAATTAAAAAGACTTTGGTAATTAAACTTTGAATAGTTGGATACTTGTAAAGTTGAGATAATAGTTTTTTGAAGTTACACTGCAGTGTTATCTTTTGCTCAGAGTTATTAGTCTGTGTTCTACTTAGTGAGTTTTTGTTATAATTTTTTGGTTTTGTTTTTTGATTTTTATTCAGACTTTATTATTTCATACTCCAGTTTTATCAGTTGTATAGTTGGACTTTTGTTGAGTTTATTCCAGATATAATCAAACCAATATTTTGCAAGCAACCCAAAAAATGGCAGAAAAATTACCTTCGCAACTATCACATTTCTTTATATAAGCATCTTGACATTTGCTTTAAAAGTTTTGCAATGAACGTAGCAATTTTGCAAGATCTATTTGAGTAATAACATATTGTCTTATAAAAATAATTTTAAAAAATATAACATTTTTTGTGCCTCTTTAGTTGACTCATTTTTTATGTTCTTCGTAAATTAAATTAAATTTTAAAAATATAACTATGATATCTCTGATATATCTATGATAGCTATAAAGATATAGTGACAATTATATTGAAATCTTTTTTTAAATAAACCTTGAACCATAGAGTTCTATTCTTTTACAATTGTTTATCAACTGTTTAGTCTAAAATTTTAATTATTATCATTTTCATTCAATTTACTATCATACTCTATTATGAACTCGTAATTTATATTCTTTTCGAAATTAGGAGAAATGTGAGATATGTGAGTTAAAATTTGAGGTAACATAATTTTTCATTTCTAAGAGACTAAGTACAAATAGATTTTTTAAGACTCTGGTATATATACTTCATAAATATATTCTTCTTATATAATACAGGTGTGTGAATAAAAATAAACGTATTGAGTGTGCATCAAAAAAAGAATATATGAATAGAGCCAGTAGAAGGGTTTTAAATGCAGAATTATTTTATATATCAGGTTTATTGCTGTAAAATAAAACCAATTAATAATAGCGTGATCAATGAATAAATTCTTTAAAAGCCCAACTTTATTTTTTTTATTTTAAAAACAAAACTAATACTAGTGCTATAAATATAAGATACGTAAGTTTCAATATTTTACTGATATTTGGTAAAAACAAACTCTGCTAATAACATCTTAAAACCAAAAATACTATTTTTCTTTTTGGATTTAGTAAGAAATAGTAAAAATACATTAGGTTTCAAGGTACATAAAAATAAAATATCTTAATGGTAATGAAAAAAACAAAGTCCAAAAATGGTAATCTTTTAATTACAATTTTTATTTTATCAAAAGCCAGTTACTAAAATGCTTTAGGTAGTATTTTTTTAAAAATAAGAAAATTTAATCGTTTAATTGTAAGTTCATTTAAATCCCTTTAAGAAAATCAACCATAAACAAGTGTCCCTTCATTTTTTCAAAAACTTAAAAGGAATGTTTTAAAGAAAAAAAAATTTAAATAAGTATAAGATTTTTGAACAAGGAAATTTTTTTTTAACCCTTATCTCCTTTATAATTTTTTTTATAATAATATTGTTTATGTCATTATTTATTATTGCAGCATGTTGAATTATTGGATCAAAAATAGTTGTTAACCGTTTAGTAAAATGTATCAGTAACCCGTTCTAGTAAGATATATCTAGAAAAATATATCAGTATATATATATATTTATACTTATTAATTTGCATAAATTTGGGTACTCGGTTGGTCGACTTTTTAAAGTATGGCTCCATATATCGCGGGCTCGTTTACTAAGGTAAATTATTTTTCCAAATTTTTTGAATTCTTTTAAACAATTTGTAATTAAAAATCCTGCTTGATCCAAAACTACCTTAAAATGCGCATAAAGTTCTTCAATTTTTATTGATTCCTTTCTTTGATCCCCATTAGTTCGGATCACACCACCTCATGTTATTGTATTTAATGTTATGAATTGTTTGCGAAGCAATTCTTTTTTATACTGAATCCAGACCTTACACCATAGCTTTATAACAAATATTGTTCCATTTTCCACGATAGTTTCCTTTCCACGAACTTCATCTTTACCCCAACTCAGATATGTTGCTAGTGTAACTCTGTTACTGGATGATATCATTTTCTTTACTGAAACTTTACTTTTTAACTTGAAAATTTGAATAACTTGATAACTTTATATCAGACACTCAATTTATACTATAAAAATGGATTAGCAGTCTGTTGATTATATATGATATATTCAATTTTTAATGAGTTATATATTAGCTTATTAAGTAAACTTTTTCAAATAAATCAGGAAGTTAATGCGGAAGTATACAGGGAAATATGCACTAATTTAAACGACTTTAAAGTATGACAAACTAGTTTATCAATCAATTAAGCAAAATGTGTGATTATACAAAAAAAGAAATTGTCTTCATTATCTAACAGTTCTTATTGTATAAGTTTACAAATTTCCAAAGAATACTAAAAAGCCGGACTAATATATTAAATTCTTTTGCAACACACGCATATTATTTTTTTCATAATTTTTTTTAGCATATCCTGAATAAAATAGTTTTGTTTTTTAACTAGTAAAAAAAACAGTATTACAAAATTACATAATTTGAGAAGTTTTTAGAAGAATAACTAAATAAAAACATAAAAATATTTAACTTAATTTTTACCAAAACTTTTTATTATGCACAGGCTTTATTTTGCCCATATAAACTGATTTGCACGGGTGTGAGGCAGGCGCTGGTTATAGCCCACGAATCCTGCCGAAACATATATATATTTATATATATATATATATATATATATATATATATATACACAGAGTCATGGGCAGGAACGGGGTGCAATCGTTTTCTATTCCTGATCACACATTTATTTATTTTTTGTGACAACTTAACCACAGCTTTTTAGATTTTTGAAAACCTTTCAAAAAGGCGCTTAATAAAGTATAAGGTA